TGAACCAGGATCTTGGCGGTGAAGCTGGCCAGCGACACGGCAGCCTCTGCCACGAGGCTCTCCGCGAGTTGGTTCTCGAGACACGCGAGTTCAGCAAGCTGATTGGTGATATTCGACCAGATGGTCGACGAATTCGTGGTATCATCGAGGAGCGCGGTCCTCTCATTGGGCTCGATGCTGAGGATGACTTTGTCAACACTGTCACTCTTCAGGCCGCCAGTTTTGCGGATGAGAACGGCCGTACCACAGATTCTGTGTTGCTGTACCACCTGGCAGGTGAATACGATACCGTCGTTGCCATTGTTAGTCGCGCATTGAGCGAGGCTGTGTCTCTCGAGATTGGCGAGGACCCTATGCGTCTCATGCCTGTCAAGCCCCGAGCTGGTGGACAAGAGGCGGACGCTGGCAGCAGTCTCAGCCTGGCGGCCATTGATGATCCTGTCGAGTTAGCCAAGACCATGATGAGCATGTATGAGCGAGACGCCATGTTCTATAGGAGAATCCAAGACCAGAACAAGGTCGCTTGCCGGGTGCTACTAGAAATGAGCAGCATCAAGGGATTGGTGGAATCCGGACAATGGGCTCAGTGCCTCGACGTAAGTTCACAAATTCTCGTATAATGAAATATGCTAATGAATTCGAACAGAGAATCCGGAGTCTCGAGATCCTCCCTCTGGATGCAGCAGGCGATGGCAGCACCATTCGAGCATATGCCTCGAAGTTTTCTGGACTCTCACAGCCCGTTTCTATTAATGTGCCCAACCTATTGATGTGGACCATTATTTGCTGCGTTCGCCAGCGAGAGCAACTCACAAGCGGCCAGTTCAGCGGCAATGAGGGCACACGACGATTGATGGTGGATCAGCTGAAGCAGATGACGCTGGATTTGACGACATATACCAGCCAGTTGCGATATAGATTCCCACCCCACCTGCATGAGGCTCTTGCACGAGCATCGGCGGAGTAGACTTTGAACTTGGGAATACCACGAATTGGGTTTGTTGAATACAGGCAAATGGTTGTATGGCTATAGCAGGATGCCTAATGAGCTTGAAGACGAGACATCCACAAAAGGGCAAGGCAAGGGCTAGTAGAGATTTTGTGGGATGGGATAGGATGGCATTGATGTAAGAGACTTGGAGAGAGGATAATCTCGTATGGTTGGCGGCTTGATAGTAATTGTACCATCACAATGTCGATGTATGTTTTTGTCATTATGTAAGATCTATGATATGGTGATGTGAAGTGAAAGGCTCCCTTGACAACAAGTCCAAGTCTCGTGAACCCTTTTTGAACCCGACTTAGAGTCGAAACTCAATGTCACAGGGTATAGTACCTAGTAGTCACCTGAGACGAGGTCGAGATTGTCACGGAGCTGTTAAGGAGACATGAGTTGTTTGCCAACACTAACAACGTTTGAAAATCTTGGATTAACTAGCACCTTCGTTATAATGAAAACAATCAACATCTCCTTTGGAAATGTATGCGTGTCATTGCGCTTCTTCTCGCGGTCATACTCGGTCTTATTATTCCCAGATCGTATCTTGTTGGGGGAGCTTTCGTTAAATTACCGAGTCACCTGATTCGACGGTGGCTCATGGTCTGTGCGTCCATGGTTCACCCCTCAGGTCCAATTTTGCGAGGGTCCATGACTCGTTCTCAACCTGGACCTGGCGGGCTTTATGAGTCAACAGTCCCCCCTCAGAAGCTGTGCCTGTCTCTTTCCAGCTACAATTGTTTCCACGGGCCCGGTCGTTAGAATAATCGATTGATTCGCTTTGCTCGTACTCGCGCTTGGGCTTGGGCTTGTGCTGTGCAATCGACGATTCGATCTAGGCTCTGGCCTGGTTCTCGACCTTGTCCTTTTTTCCTCTCTCGCTGCAGAGAAAGTATCGAGTAGGCGAAAGTGACCCCACAGGTGAGAAGGGATTGGATATCTTCATCTTCATTACCGGGCTATTCCCTCTAAACCTCCCCTTGCTGGGTCGGGTCGTGTCGTACATTGCATTGCATTGCATTGCTTCGTCCTGACTCGCTGAGTCGAGTGGGTGAGTGAAGCAGACAGGAGCTCTCAGACGCGAGACGAGGCAGAGCGAGACGAGGCAGAGCCCTTCTCGCCAGGTTGGAAGAGGTTTCGCTCTTGAGCTGTCGGAAAGGCAAGGAACCTCGTTGAGGTAAGGTTGGCTCGTCGAGTGAGTGGATACACAACAACTCATCCTCGTTCGTCTACCCCCACACTCTCAGACACAAACCTCCATTTCCGTCTCAGTCAGCCTCTTTTCCCTCTCGCCTCGGTCTTGTTCCGCTTCAACTGCCGAGGACAAACCCACTCCGAGACGGGGGCTTCTTCCCGCTTCCGCCCCGATGGCCTCCGGTCCCGACACCCCAGGCACCGTTCAGAGTCCCGCTGGCTTCGGCCCTGGCCCGGATGATGATTCGGCTTCCCTCAAACGCGATGCCGACGCGGTCAACCCAGGTTCTCCCGCTGGTGGTGATGATAGCGCAAAGAGGAGGAAGAAGGCTGGCCCTGGGAGTCGAGGTGTCGCCAATTTGACACCTGAGCAACTTGCTAAGAAGAGAGCGAATGGTGAGTGCAGTTTTATCTTTCCTTTCTGGTGATACGATATATCAACCAACCTATCATCGTTCAGTCACTCAGACAGGCTACCTAATCGTCGTCTTTGTTCCTGTTCATCTTTACATGTCTATCCCCTTCCTGTCTGGAGACTCACCCCTTAGTCTCATCGTATGTGATAAAATATTTGTAACACCACTAACACTGTTACAGACCGTGAGGCTCAGCGTGCCATCCGTGAGCGGACCAAGAATCAGATCGAGGATCTTCAACGCCAGATCCAAGAACTCACCAACCAACAACCCTATCAAGAACTGCAGAGTGTTCTTCGCGCCAAAGAAGCCGTTGAACAAGAGAATGCCGACATCAAGCGTCGTTTAGCTGGCATAGTTGCCATGCTCCAGCCCATTATTGGTCAAGGCAAGCATCTCGTTTCTTTCTCTCTATAACCAGGGTTAACACAGCGTATAGCTGGCATTGAACAAGCATACGTATCACCAGCTCAGACGTATGCGCCCCCCGTACAGCATCCTGTTACTCTGGCTGTCCACAACAATCACCACAACAATGCAAACGCTGCTTCAACACCCGGCAGTGTTGCATCTCCTCCAAATCATGACCCTACACCAAGTCAAGGTCACTGGCATCACCAGGGGCATCATGCGCCTCCTCAACATCATCACTCTCCTCACCCTCCCGCCGGGCCACCAACTACTGCTGAAGGGCAGGCCGCCAACCAATTGACTCAACAGCGCCGAAATCTCCAGCATGGACTCGATATGGGCCCTGAACGTCTTGGACTCGAATTCCTACTCGAACCATCTCAGCGGGTGAACAGGATACAGAATGGTGTAAACGGTGCCCAAGACACGCCACAGTTCCGCCATATACCCATGAAGCACGACTGGACAGGCGTCAATCAAGAACGTGCGTTGCATAGTCGGTCGGCGAGCTGGGGCTCTCAAGGAAAGCCAGGGCAGCCTTCACAGGAGCAACAGCAAGGCCCGCATCAGCCCTCATCACATCACACACTGTCGGCTGCCCATACACCCGAAAGCTCACACAGCCCTGGCTATAGCCCTGCCATGAGTGCAGCTGGTGGACCAGTCCCTCGCAGTGAACCCAGCACTACCGATCCTGCAACCCCTATCAAGAATTGCCCGCCGACCTGTCCCCTTGACTCTTTACTACTCGACTTCCTCAGTGAACGTCGTCAACGTGCTGCAGATGGGCTGCCTGCTCAGGATGTTGTTGGCCCTCGTTATCCTTCTGTCTCATCACTTCTCAATCCCGCCAATAGCGCATACAGTCACCCTCTCTCCAAAGTCTTCACCGATATCCTCGCCACCTTTCCCGACATTTCGACTCTCCCTGAGCGCGTGGCCGTGCTTTACATCATGTTTCTTGTAATGCGCTGGCAAATAGAGCCTACTCAGGAAAACTACGATCGGCTCCCCAAATGGATGGCGCCATGTCCTTCCCAGCTCACCATCCCACACGCTGCCTGGCTTGACCACATTCCCTTCCCTAAGATGCGAGATTATCTTGTTCGCGATCACAACCCGCTTCTTCACCCCTTCGATAATTTCTTTGTACCATTTACCACAACTCTCTCGCTGTCTTGGCCATACGAGGAGACCGACACGTTACTTCAGGACCCAGACAGTGATGAGCTCATGATCAATCCCGTCTTTGAGCGCCATCTACGGAACCTGGATAATTGGAAGTTGGGTGATGCTTTTGCCAAGGCCTTTCCTAAGCTAGTTGGAACATTCAACCTGAACCAATCTACTTCGCCAAGACCAACTTCGTCCAGCAGCTGATGCCACAGGTACTAGAAAAATACCGTATCAAAGTAACTACTCTGTACAACAATGTTTTCCCCACGGTCGGCGTATTGTGTTTTCGTGCTTCCAAGTCTTGGAGATCTGACTTTGGGTCGTCTTTGTCCAAGAGAAAGTGGGATATCATATTGTGATGGGATTTCTGGACCATGGTTGCTACCAGGCCAGAATACACGGTCTTTGTCACACTTATCGGAGTTATTTGTTTTCAGAGCCATCAAAATACGTATGCTCGCACTCAAGGGTATAATCACTAGATTTGGGTAAATATTGCAGGGTGACTTGGATGGTAGTCAACAGCAGCTCGGGTTCTCCCAAAGGGATTTCATCCTAAAGTTTTCTAAAGCTGGCCTAAATCTAGTCTGAATGCATACAATCTCATCCTAAAGTCTTCAGATTTGGCCCAAATCTAGTCTAAATTCATACAATCTTATCCTAATGACCCCAAATTTTAGTCCGACCTCTTCACTTATCCTTAGGTTCCCGACCCTCTACCACCTTGATCTTTCTTCTCTTCTTTCTTATGGCCCGCGAGCTCAACGACTGATTTTCCAACTCTATTATGGCATTGCACTCATGGGTTACTGCCTTCTCGGACGTTTGTTCCGAATAGGCAGCTCGGCAAGGCCATCAGCACTGCGCTTCTTGTCCGGCTGAAGCCAATCAGCGATAGATTGCTGAACCATCGATTTTTTGTAGAAGCATCTGAGTGCCTTCTTCTTCCACCTCTCAGATCGGTCGTCTGACTTCTCGAACATCTCATCTAAACAGTCGCAGACCAACCTGGTCTGCTGGCAGTCAGGAAGGGCTCTGTGGTTGTGTCCAATCAGGTTATGTGCCGGATAAAGCACTTGGAACAGAACTTCGAGCTTCATGCTGAGACTTTTCGGGACATTTTTTCTAAAGATTGGGATCAAGGGGAAACATTTATCATCTCCAGGTAGAATGCCTGTGTAGCCACCCTTTTCCAGGAATTCTCTGAGGATGGTAAGATCGAATTTGTTGGTGTGCCAGCAGATAAAAATGGTCTCTGGTGTAATGCCAGATCTCTTCAGGGTTTCGGCAACTTGGTCAACATCCATCTGTACCAATTCTCAACCGGGAGGGTAGAACTTTTTCCTGTGCTGGTTTGCGATGTATTCCATCTTCTCCCCGACAGTACCTGGAGGGAGTGGTGCAGTCTTGGTGGCGTCGGTGTGTCTGATAACAGTGTTGATTAACACCTCACCTGTTACCCGATCGATGATGGCCGTTTCATATAGCTCACGAGTCGTGGTATTGAATTCAGTATCGATGATCACGAACTTTCGTGGACCAGTATATTGCCCGTTGCGCCGCATGTCCCTGATGGGTTTCCGCACTGCGGTTTCATACCGTGCATACTGCAAGGGATAACTCCAACGCTCTGATGCAGCAGTTGCGAACTCATCTCCAAGTTTGGCCAGGTCAAAATCGAGCTTCTGAGGCGAGTCAAATCTCTTTGTGAGTTGCCTCATCCTCATCTCTGCGTGACATTTCACGCATCTGCTGTTCAGCGACAACGTAGGAACCTTTCGACCACGACTATTATTTAGGATCGCCGTGTCCAGTTCAATGATCACGCCGTTTGGCACGGTTCAAATATAAGCCCATTGGTCTCGATGCCCGGACCTGCGCATTTGTAGCCTCGGGCATTGAGGCAGACAGGCCTGTCCTTGTGGGTTTCTAAGATTTTTCTTGTCAGCTGTTCCGTTCTGAGGGAGAAAGATGAGAAGTTTGTCGCATCACGTACTCCACCATTCTTCATTCTGTCGAAGAATATCGACATCTTGGTTAAAGACTGCATCATCATCTTCTTCTTCTTCTTCTTCTTCTTCTTCTTCTTCTTCTTCTTCTTCTTCTTCTTCTTCTTCTTCTTCTTCTTCTTCTTCTTCTTCTTCTTCTTCTTCTTCTTCTTCTTCTTCTTCTTCTTCTTCTTCTTCTTCTTCTTCTTCTTCTTCTTCTTCTTCTTCTTCTTCTTCTTCTTCTTCTTCTTCTTCTTCTTCTTCTTCTTCTTCTTCTTCTTCTTCTTCTTCTTCTTCTTCTTCTTCTTCTTCTTCTTCTTCTTCTTCTTCTTCTTCTTCTTCTTCTTCTTCTTCTTCTTCTTCTTCTTCTTCTTCTTCTTCTTCTTCTTCTTCTTCTTCTTCTTCTTCTTCTTCTTCTTCTTCTTCTTCTTCTTCTTCTTCTTCTTCTTCTTCTTCTTCTTCTTCTTCTTCTTCTTCTTCTTCTTCTTCTTCTTCTTCTTCTTCTTCTTCTTCTTCTTCTTCTTCTTCTTCTTCTTCTTCTTCTTCTTCTTCTTCTTCTTCTTCTTCTTCTTCTTCTTCTTCTTCTTCTTCTTCTTCTTCTTCTTCTTCTTCTTCTTCTTCTTCTTCTTCTTCTTCTTCTTCTTCTTCTTCTTCTTCTTCTTCTTCTTCTTCTTCTTCTTCTTCTTCTTCTTCTTCTTCTTCTTCTTCTTCTTCTTCGTCATCTTCCTCTTCCTCTTCCTCCAGGCCACGGCTGCTATCCTCTTCAGGCTCTTCATTGTTGTTTTCAGCATTGTCCTTCAGCAAAATACTCTGTTTGAGTATTGCCAGAAACAACGGAATGTTCCCGTTGAACCGTGGCTGCTCGGCTGGTATGTACTCCAGCTCCTTATCTTGCGAAACATGACCCCGTTTCTGGTGTTTTGCCCAGTGCTTTACTAGATCAGTTCCTTTAAGAACCTTGCCAATAGCTGTTAAACGGCAAGTGGAGATGGGACATTTGTACAGAACTTTGTCTGCGCCGTGATCGGGATCCTCTGCATGTGCAATCGTATCTTCCACTTTCTTGAACCTTCTATAGCATAAGTTCCGAGGGCATCGGAACATAGTGTGGCCCTTTTCGTGTGAGTCCCTGGTCTGACGGACATCAAAGGTCTCGGGGCAGTGTCGACACTCGAATATGGTGGGATTGGGGCCATGTTTACGTTCCCAGTGATCGTTCATGTCGTAATTCCTGACAAAGACTTTAACGCAATCAGGGCATTTGAATACCTCTCTATCATCGTCGTGCAGTTTCATGTGCCGGCTCAAAGTTCCGGGTGTCGCAAGCCTGTCGCCGCACACGTCGCACTCGTATTTGTTCTCTTTTGATTGATTCATGGCCTTGTCTTCATCAGCATCGGGTTCTTACATCAGTATTTAGAATCTTACCCTCTTCTTGGTAGGCATCCTGAGTTAGTTCCTGGCTGAGAAAGCCTCAGGTCACAAACCCTAGGGAAGTGGGTAGTGGATGGTAATAGGAGATTAGATGAAGAGATAAGTAAGGCCAGAGGCTGTACAGCTAAAGCAGCACAAGAGTGTTTCTTTTGCTGCACAATATATGGCGTTATACACAAGAGATATGATTAGATATGGGCGTCGTATTTATGTGCAGAGGTGAGTGGAAATAAGTGATAAGGAGTTGATGGAAGCAATATGGGTTGGGGAGAAGAAAAAATACAGGATGAGAAAAATACTTTTTAGGATAGTGGTTCAAAGACATCGAGCAAACATTCAAGTGAAGTCAGCGTCGGCTGGCAACAGCTGGCAACAGCTGGCAACATCAACTTGTCTCCTTTTGTTCTTTGTATGCGAAACCTGTGACTGCCACCCCTCAGGGGGGTAAGAAACATAGAGGATGCCAAAATAAACTTAGCAAAGAGCCTCGTAAGCTTAGACTAAATTGCCTGAGTCTTTTCATCCCTTAGGATAAAAGTCCTAAAGTTCTCTTACCTGTCCCTGCCACCCTTCCTTACGCAACCTATGTTCCTGTTTGATTCAGTTCTTAGTTCAGAAGGCACAGCATTAGATAGTGACATGTCAAGTTATCTAAAATACCTACCATGTTACAACAGGGCTACAACAAAGGAATTGCAAACAGGTCTGAGCGGTGAGTCAGAGCTAAGGTGAGCTCCTGAGTCATTCAGGCGTCTGTTATCCTACGATGATGTTAATATAGAAAGCATAACCAATATTGGCGTTTTGCGATGCTTTGCCATACACAAGCGAGCTGCTGGCAGAGCTGAATGACTATCTTGAACCCTACAAGTTGCAAACCAGTGAGCTTGGCTTGTCTGATCAATACAGAGAGACCTTGCACGACATTGCCTTCATACAGGATCATGTGGTCAATCCTTGTAGGATTTCAACAAGCCATCTGTGCTCACGACGCTTTGAAGCTGGAATAGGTTATCTGACCAACGGAAAGATCTCACAAGAACAGATTGTTATCTTCTTGAGAACCTTCTATTGGTGGTGTATCCTTGCTGGAGAGGAATTTGAACACGGGTCAAGCATCAGCTTGCCAAGTGTCACTCAGCCGCCACGTCTTCCCTCACCTTCATTTTAGCATTTCTCTCAGATATATCGGTTCATGTGGAAATGGGCTGAAGGTACCCGTACTCCCCATTACCAGTCCATGTTGGGTGCCATATTGTGAGCAGTCATTCTCTATCATGGGCTATTTTGATGGTTGTGGCGTCGCTAACAGACAGGGGAGTTGACACATCGGGCTTGGACGAAAGAAGAAAATACAGTGAATGACGTTTCAGCGAAACAAATTATGGCAGAATGGTTCCTAATCCCTGACGCCTCACTAGGTTCTCTTAGTAAATATATCGCCAAAGCTTCAGTCTCAGGGCTGTGTGACTGGCGAAGTGCCTCTACCGCGCTTTGATCTCGTTGTAAAGCTCATGATCTAAATTAAGTATCACCACTAGTTCTATTCACATACGCTTCTGTTTGGCGAGTTCCTTTGATACTCTCATAATTCGTCGTTTGGGTCGACTTGTTCGTTACGTAGCCCCTGGTAAGGGGATGAGAAGACTGTGAGCGATCGAGCACTTCGATGCTCTCAAATTTGTCCATAAGACATGAGCCCCCGTGTTACGTCCAAGACTGTAAACTGAACTAATTGCCGACTTTTACCTATACTGACGGATACTGCTAGACAGTAACGCCTCTCCTAGGACATCTGTGATATCCATATACATTCATCCCATTTGTTTTCGCTTACTATTCTTACGTCCTCTTCGAATAACACCACAATTACCTTTGTATTTCACCATCCCTCGCTCCATTTCTGTTTCTCGACATCATGCCTGGTAGTAGCTTCTCTACGGATGCGTTCTGCAACGCAGCTGAAGCTCTCTTCAGAGACGCTTCCCATCAATCTATTATACCAAGACACCTCGTTAGGTCATATTTCGAAGCAGAGGGTGATGTTTCCCAACTGGAGATATTGGAAGTCATCATAGAGTACTTCCAAGATCCAGCACCTGGGAAAAGACGGGAAACATTCATCGTTTCACCGTTCAACGACAGCATCAACTTCCTTGTGAGATATGGGGCCCATTCTCACGAGCGGAGCTTGACGATCCTCGGAACATCCGACGAGATAAGAAACGTGCCAGTATGGCTGGTACAACTCATTGATGCCATATTCTGTATCATGCGCCTCCGGATGCCCAGCTTTAGGCCCGAGGTGTTCAGCTGGTCCTTGGATCAGCAGCGCCTTGGATTCACCTTGCTTGCGCTGCTCGGACGATTTGTCCACCTGGGAACCTCCCCATCCGACAATCGTTCTCTCTCGATGTTTCCCGCCATACAAGACATTCGCAACGAAGGTTTCTGGGATATTGCGGGTAGGGTGTCCAGAAGCCAGCTTAGCGGTGGTGGCCTTGGCCTTGTGGACTGCTCTGAGACCATGGAGGAGGATCAAATAGCTGACGATGAGGGTGAAAGCTCCCAGGCTCAGCCTCGCTCCCGCGCCCGTTCTCGTTCGCGACCTGCTCTTCGTCGGAGCACGCCTCAAGCGGAGAAGACTTAACTATACTGAAGTGTCAGATATCGACATGGAATTGCGAACCAAGAGCAGCAGTCATGAAGATAAGGGCGACCTTTACAGCGATAGCGAGCAGGAGTCTGACCAGAGTTCTGAAACCCAATCCGAGACTGCCGAGTTCTCTTCACAAGAAGACAGCGTCCCAGATGCCGGTGTGAAGGCACCTGTGAAGGCCAGATCCACACCCCTCGTGCCCACGTTTACCGAAGCCGACCTGATTTTCCCATTGACTCAGCCTGACGAATTGAAACTAGTGGCTCTCTTTGCCGCTACAATCCAGGTAGCACAACTGCAAACGCTGGTGTACTACAGCCGTGAGGAGGCCAGTTATTGCATGGCAACCGCTGCGATCGACTGGGCTTCGGTCTCTATAGTGGCGGAAGGGCTCGCTCCCAATGACCTCAAGGGGCTATATGCTCCTGAAGTCTGCCGCCAGTTGTATGAGTCTGATGAAAATGCTGAGTTTAGGCGCAAGGCTCTGCTGGGACCAAACTGGGAGAAACTCAGAGGTGTGTCCGCTTTCGAAGGCGAGCAACCACAGGAAGGGGACCCGTTTGGCCTTAATGATGTGGATTCAGGTACCTGCGGCAGCTGCTTAGCATTCATACACAGACTCGCCGAACACGAACCGTCGTGTGTTGGGCGTTGCCTCGCGTGCGTCAAGTCCAAAATTCCTTGCGTGCGCCCAGTGGGAAAGAAGACCTGCGTCACTTGTCCTACACCCGGAAAATGCAGAGAACCATCGCACGAATACAGAGCATTACCAAAGGGCTCAGAACAATGTTATATGTGCCTGCAGTTTGTGGGAAACATCTATTCTCACGTCCGCGAGTGTCGTGGTCGATGCCACAACTGTGTTGCAAGAAAGGTGCCTTGCGCGCGAGGAAACTTTGCAGGAAACCACAAATGCAAGCACTGCGACGCCGAAGATCAAGACTGTGGCAACTTTTCGCATGACAAGAAGGGGACTTGCAAAAAATGTAAGGCTCCAGTGCGCGACATGAGAACTCACAGGCCAAATTGTCAAGGCCAATGCGGAGTCTGTTTTGCGGCAAAGATTCCCTGCGTTCGGCCTCGGCTGTCCAGAACTTGCGAAGAGTGCAATCGTCTCGGAAAGGGACCTTGCAAAGACTTTACCCATCCGAAACCACAAAAGACCTGCACGATGTGTTGGTGCGATTACTCTTATCAGCAGCACAAAAGCCAATGTCGGAAGAGATGCACAGAGTGCGTTGCAGATGACAAACCCTGCAAGCGTGACAAGGGAAAAAGGCGTTGTAATAACTGCCTGACAAAGAAAACCATCTGCAAAGTTGAAGACAAACTAGCATGCATGGTTCCCTGCCGTTTCTGTGGGAGGGAATACATCAAAAGCATGATTAAACGCCATCAGGAGCGTTGCCCTGGTAAGTGTAGCAACTGCAAGGACGCCAGGGACGACGAAGGTCGTGAAATTGTCTGCTTCCACCCTCCCTCTACCTCAAGAGAACCATGCAAAAGATGTGCAGAGATGGGGGACGATCTAGATCGTGGATGCGATGGCAGCTGGAGGCGACCCGAGGATCAGAGGTGTCAGACTGAGGATGAAGCCGATGATAGCGATAACGAGAACAGCGAGCATGGAGGGGAGGATACAGAGAAAGATGAGGACAGCGAGAGTTGGGATTGAGAGGCTTATCTCATGATATTTGTGGATCATGGAAGGGGATTTCTCTTGTCTCTTATGTCTTTTTTCTTTTGTGTCGTATTTTTTTCCTCGTGGTCAAGTTATTATAGATTTCCTTAGATATTCCACCAAGACTGTCGTTTCCTCAAAACAAAAACCTTATCTGCGCCTCTGTTACGCAATTTCTCCAGAGTAACTTTATCTGCGTCGAATTTCAGGCCTCATCACCCCATTCTCGTATTCCAAAAGAAAACTTCCTTAATAAAGGCCCTTCGCCGACAAAAAGACTGGGCATTCTTTCCCGAGGCATCCTCTGGAACATCAGCGCCTTGACGGGCGAATCAACGTGAATAGTTTCGATAGCTGAACAGCGTAGTTGACAACCTGATTTCAATGAAAAGAGCTTCACAGTCCCATTCTCCTGGGCCGCAGCAACGACGTTCAGCTCTGGGCTGACATCCCAACCAATGTGAAAGTGAGCCTCGTTGCGGTGCCCGTTAAAATACAGCAGTGGCTTTGTTCCACGAGGGTCACTTGTTAGATAGCGTACGTCGTAGAGAGCCATCGAGCTCTTCAATCCCGATGCCAGCACCTGATGTGGGTTTACACTCTTGATATGGGAGATGGAGCTTGCGTGATTCGCAAACGACCATTGTGGTTCAGGGGCGCGAAGATCTGTTATCCAAAGCCTGGGTTGCCTCCCGCCAGCAAACACAACGTTGTGGTTCCCTTCTTGGAAATCTTGTGCGAACGTTTCTTGTGGGAGTTGTATACCATTTTGGACGGCTCTTGGAGCAACCACCGAGACACTCCCCTCGGAATGCATTCTAAGGAGGCCTCTGTTAGAGCTAGCAACACAAATAAGGTCCGAAGATGAAGGGGCGGGCGTGCTATTGTGAACCATCCATTCACCACGTCCCTCGTGAGGGACAGCGACTCTCTGGTAGAGAATTGCTGTTTGCAAGTCAGCAGGGTTCAACACATGGCCAAACAGAAAGAATAGTTACATTCGCCAAGCAGCCATTGTGGACAATTAGGGTCCCTATGATTTGATAGCCGTGGAGAAAAGAAGTATATTCCGCAGGTATTGTCAGGTTCGCGCGAAGTCAAGAGTATTGTATGTGAAGGCTGGTGATACTTTATCGATGACATCTGTGGACATCGTACCGCCTCTGTACGGAATGATAGGGTTCTGCCAGAAGAAATGGGTGCTTCTCGTGAGAAATGAATTCTACACTATGTCAGTAGATTAAAGTATATTCCGGCCTCGAAGACCAACTCGTCATTCTCATCTGTAGGAATATAGCTTCCCACCAAAGTCTCCTCATCCAAAGCTGGAAGGCAAGTCAGATACCATGTGAAAGTCATACGTTACAGCGCTGCAACCCAAGGACTCACTGGCATAAGAAGCCCCTAGGCCCGTCTTCTCATCGTCCCCAGAGACATAAAAGCACGGCATGTTTGCACGTCGCTCTCTTGCAAAGGTTGGTGCAAATGGGACGTTGCCTCTGGCTACTGAGCCCCTTGCCCACGCTGCAGCACCAAGGTCTTCATCCTCTACTCTACCGCTGCCTCTCTCGGCGGCATAGGGAAGACCAATCTCCCTCGTAAGGAGTGCGAACGTGACTGTATCTCTGGCAACAAAATGGCGCTTAATGTGTTTCTTTACTTGGTGCGCTTGGCGTTCAGCGAGTTTTTGAGCCTCGTGCTCAACTTTGCGCCTTTTCACGGCATCCGAAGACCAGGCGGCCGACGAGGGCGCCGTATGCGTTTTTTCGATCTTGAAATACTTTTTTTTCTCATTATCTGACAGAATGCAAGTAAGTACAAAAACTTCAGTGGTTTGCCAGAACTGTACCATAATAATAGCCAGGGATTTCGTGGTTCATGATCGTCCTTAGAACACTTGATAGCTTCCACGGCGGCTTTTGAACAAGAAAGGCGGAGTAGTGCAGTTGTCAGAATTTGTGAAGCGGCAAATGTGAGCTGTTGAGACATGGAGAGGGGGGCTTCAGGTTGCAATTGATGTCACACTGAGTGGATGGCGGTGCATAGGCGAGGCTGGAGGAGAGGCCAATCAAGGATAGTTCTGCATTGACCCAAGTGGAAGGCCGTGCTACCCAGTTGAGGAATTAATAGCAACTTTCGAATGAGCACAAGAAAACACGAGAAGACAGACACAGGTTCGAATCAAGGATCACTCATGCTTCAAAGGACGAATTATTTATTTTACTTGTATTATTAGGTGTCTAGTAGACGTTCTCTAGGGGTATGAAAGTTTCCTCAACCACTCCAGGAGTCTTAATACTCGGGTGCGAGTAATACAGTTCAAATTTGGACAGAGCGAAAGTGAAAAGTCCGGGCGATGGTGGTCCGGGTATATACCATCTAGTTTACTGAGACTTCTCGTGCTGGGTCGAGACACGCTGAAGAGAGACAACTGTGATAGAATTAGTGGACTGAAGGTCAACGTCAAGGTAATGGCTAGGGACTTACCGAAATCCTCGAGGGATCGCTGCTTCTGGTTCTGCTTGGGGGACTTGCCGTGCATCAGGTTGTCAAATCCAGTACTGCCTTGCATGAAGTAGTAGAGGCCACCCATGACACAGAAGACACCGAATGAGAAAATCCAAATACGGACGACGGCGACGATGCTGGTCTGGCCACCAACGAACCAACCGAAGATACAGAAGAGGGTGGCAAGGATATCGACGATCAGAATGGCACCAGACAGCTGCCAAGAGGGGATGGAAGACCAGAAAGGACCGTTGGCACGGGTGATGAAGATAAGCCAGTTCTCGGTGAGAGAGATCTCAAGGAAGAGAACCTCGTCGATCTTACCGAAGTTCTGGACGATACCACCATCCTCAGAATTGGCATACATGGTAGTAAGAGCAATCCAGGTACCAACAGCGAGGACAACACCGAGAAGGACGGACATACCCCAAAGCTTGGGGAGGTTCCACTTAACGGGAGTCTGAGAGAACGGAGCGTTGTCGTAAGCAATGGCAAGGGTAGCAATATCGGCGAAGATAGCAATGAAAACGACCAGCTCAATGTTCAAGCTCTTGTTGAGGATGGCGATCCAGAGACCAAGGAAGAACTCCATGTGGAGAGACAGGGCAATACGGTAAACCACGTACGCATACATGCGGTGAAAGATTTGGCGCGCTTCGTGAGTGTTAGCATAGGTTTTATCATGAAGTGGTGGTCTTTGTGTGGTGGCTGAGGCTACAAAAGGGGGGCCGAAATAGCTTCAACCCACGACAAAGTTCAACAGAATGTAAACTTACAAGTCTTCAAAGCATCAATGATAGCACCAAGACCGGGAGCAAGGAAAACAATGTCGGAAGCAGAGCGGGCAGCGTCGGAAGCACCCTCAACAGCAATACCAGTATCAGCCTTCTTCAAAGAGGGAGCATCGTTGACACCGTCACCAGTCATGGCAACGAGGTAACCACGCTGCTGGAGAATCTCGACGACGTTGTACTTGTGCTGGGGGAAAACCTCAGCGAAACCATCGGCAGCCTCAACGAAATCGTAGACCTCAGAACCGGGCATGTCACCACCACCACCAAGACCAAGGCGCTCAGCGTTGTAAACGTTTGTACCAAGACCGAGCTGGCGGGAAGTCTCACGAGCAATACCGACGGCATCACCAGTAAGCATCTTGATGGAGAGACCAAGGCGCTTGGCCTCGTTGATAGTGCGGGCAGTGTCGTGGCGGGGAGGGTCAGAGCAAGGCATGATTCCGAGAATCTCCCATGCACCCTCACCCCGCTTGCGGGCAACACCGAGAGATCGGAAACCACGGGTAGCGAATTCGGCAACGGTGTTCTTGTAGGCGGCATCAATTTCCTCAGGGATGGGATGATCCTCTTCGACAGTCTTGAGGACAAAGAGAGGAGCTCCCTTGACACAGACGATACGCTCGCCCTGAGGAGACTCAACGACAGCCTGAACCTTCTTGGATACGGGATCAAAGGGATGGAAATCAAGAACCTTGTACTTGGACAGAACACTCTTGGCACGGGGGTAGTACTTGAGGGCCTTGAGGAAAGCCTTGTCAATGGCGTCAATACCCTTCTTCTTGCGGGAAGCGGCCAAACAAGCAGTAAGCATCAGGTCATCAGGCTCAACGCCAGCAACACAGAAAGGCTCAGCGAGAGAGAGCTTGTTCTTGGTCAGAGTGCCGGTCTTGTCAGAGCAAAGAATCTCGACACCAGCAAGGGACTCAATGGCGGAAAGCTTCTGGACAATGGCCTGCTTCTTGGCGAGGTAGGCAGCTCCGACGGCCATAGTTGTTGTGACGACAGCAGGAAGACCGACAGGCACACCGACGATTGTGATAGCCAACGTAAAGCGAAGTATATCAACTCTGCGCAAGGGGTTAAATTAGCATCATAATGGGCATTAAACGGGTAATATATCGTCCTTACATTCCATTTGATCGGTAAAAGCTCGAGACCCAAACTACAAGTAGCGTGGCGACGACCAAGACCAGGAGGATAGTACCAATTCCGTTCAGAACCTCTGTGAAGTGACCAGTGCCTCCAGCGGACTGGGAGACAAGGGCAGCAGCTCGACCGACGAAGGTGTTGTCACCAGTAGCGGTAACGATGACGAAAGCCTCACCTCGCTTGACAGCGGAGGAAGCATAACAGTTGTCACCAGCGTGCTTGTCGACAGCGAGGGACTCGCCAGTGATGGCAGACTGGTCGACCTGGACGAAGCAACCCTCGGTGACGAAACGACCATCGGCAGGGATAATGGTTCCTTCCTCGACCTGGAGAATATCACCGGGAACGACCTCAGGGGCCTCGACTTCCTTGAGAGTACCGTCACGGAGAACGACAGCCTTGAGAGCTAGAGTCTTTTTGAGCTCCTCTACAATCGATCCAGCCTAGTTTTCTGTCAGTTACTTCTCTCGGGGATGTGAGGGTGGCCTTGTGGATGGTCTAGAGGTCTCTAGACAGGCTGTGGGAGGTAGAACGCACTTGGAACTCTTGGATGAAACCGACACAAGCGTTGAGCAGGAGAAGCGCACAGATGACGCCAAAGTCAATCCAGTCTTCTAGACCAGCAGCGAGAACAGCAGCAGCTTCCTACAAGTCGTTAGCAAAAGAAACCGTCAAGTTTGGTTGAGAAATGGTCGAGTTATGTCGTATTTTGGTTGGTGTGACAAGGAATTTCCTAATTAGGAAATTCACGTGCATTGACCACCACGCTAAAACCCGCTCGACACAACACCATCGCAAGTGTCGCGGCCGGTATCACCTAGAAGCAACTCCCAGTAGAAACGACGTAGAATATGCTACGAGCGTCGGATTTTGGTGAAAGTTGGTTCAAAGTGTGCAGCAGAATCGGGAGAATGCAATTGGGGACAAATTGGGGTGTAAAAATGCCAATCACGACCCAAAAATGGGCTGAAGACGGAAAAGACCAAGGAAAGAGCTAGGAAAGAGCTGGGAAGACGAGGAAAAGACTGGGAAACGCTGGGAAATTAGGGTACGGTTGACGCACCATCACAAACTGGATGGGACCAACGAAGAACATGAGGAACTTGAGGATCATGTTCTCACGCTCTTCTTTCATCTGGTTGAGACCCCATTTGCGTCGTCGGTTGATGACTTCGGCCTCTGTAAGGCCTACTCGGGAGTCGGTTTGGAGCTGATCTTCGGGCACAACACGGCCACCTCCGGGCTGAGTCTCTTCTTCGTCGTCGAGGGCGTGGCCATCCTCGGACTCGAGATCCTCGATCAGGGCGTCCATGTCCTCGTCGGGCTCCTCATCTTCGGCGACGGGTGCCTTGGGGGCGTGGGTGGGGGGAGCAGCTTGTCCTCGCTTCTCATCGAAGCCGCCAGTCTCGATGTTGGTGTCCAGCGCAGGAGCGCCGGTCGCCTTCTCTTCAGCCATCGTTGGAGATGATGGAGCAGAGAATGTCGATTCTTAGGGTGTACAAAGTGCGACTGTAGGTGGGCAGCAAATATTGGGAAATAATAGCTTAGGTTGATGCCGCTTCTGTTGTTGTGTTGAGAGAAACAGAGGAACAAGATAGAGTGGAGAGGGAAAAGGGAAGAAAGTGTCAAAGCACCGCACGAAGTTAGGGTCGCTTATGAATGAAGCATTCGTGGGTGAAGAGGAGAGGGAAAAAAGAGAAAGTTTGGGTCGGGCGAGAGCTTCTTTTTGAATTGCAAAGTAAGATGCGTGAGGAAGCTTGGGCTAGGTTCTTTCCCGGCGAGCTTGCCGGCCCACGCTCGTGCATGCGTTGTATGGCCCCTGCCAACAGACTTTCGGCCCTGATCAAAATGATGGAGACCCGGTCATGAAGTGGGTACCACACCTCAATGCCTGCATATTTCTCCAAGACTGATTGTCTCTCACTTGATGCACGTCGCCATCTTACTCGCTGCTCACTGACTTTCTGTGGCCCCCCCATCACAAGTAGACAAGACAGAAAAGAAGAACACAGATGACCGGGGTCTCATCAAACGGGTCCCACGGCGACGCAGGGCTCCACAGCACAAGATATGGGTCTCTTCCTCTTCCCAAGCCGGGACGGGTGGATTAGGATGGAGCCCATCAGTCACTTCCCACGAGTCTCGCGCAGGTTCCTGGCATGGTCTCTCGCGAATCCCAATATGCCCCAGGTTATGTGCTCCATGCCGTCTCCAGGTACGACCGGAAGCTCTTCGAGGTACGAGCTAGCAACAAGGAGCCTCGCTTTCCTCTACTGTACGAATTGATCCGACCTCTCACGGCCCTGCCGACCCAGTCCAATCCAACCATTTCAATTGGATTGGCCATTCACACATTCATTACACTCATCAATTGCTCTACTTCTGCCGCCATTATGCAGACCATAATCAACTCTAGTCCATTGCCATTG